AATTAATGTCTGTATCATAATGCATATGCACAAAGGGGCTGAATTAAGGTTGCATAGGTTCCTCCCACTGTGGTCAGCAGGCAACCTTAATTCTGGCATGTACTAACTTTTGAGTGCTCAACTTTGCAACCATGCATTTCTTTTACCTGAGTTTTTTAAATTGAATTTTAGAATTATAACCAAAACAAAACAAAACCACTCTGAAACCCCCTGAGAAATTTAATCACGTGGAACCATATTTTCACCAACAGGATTCATCATAGGTGCTGGATCCTCTAGATGCACAGCACAGACCTCTGCCACTTGAGCTAACAGCGAAATTGATGGTAGTAGTAAGTTGTCATCCTCTTTGTGGACCAGCACTAGAGGGAGACAAGAGACATGTTTTCCCTGTAAGTTTCACAGATATCTTCTGACTGCAGTGGAATGTTGAGACTCAGGAATCTTGGGTTCCATTCTAGTTTCTGAAGCAGACTATGCTGGGGGGGATCACAGACTCTTCTGTTCCTATTCCCTCAAGCTTGGTTGCTTTTGCCCATGCCCCAGTCATGTCTCTACTCCTTCCATCTCTGGCTCCTTGTCCCAGTCACCTAGGTAGTCCCAGTCAGTCCCCCCACTCCTCGGGCTCCTCATTCCAGTCCCAGTCACCCTCCTCGGGCTCCTCATCCCAGTTCCCCCTCCCAGACTCCTTGACCAATTCTACTTGCCTGGCTATTCCCAGTCTCCCCATCCTGTCTTCTCCTCTGATTTCAGTTCCTCATCCACCCGTGTTTCCCCACCAGCTTCTGCTCTTGGTCTCTTTGCTAGCCAGCCCCTGTCTACTCATCAGAGCTGCCCTCCCACAGGCTCCATGTTCCAATCTACCACCCCACCCTCCAGGTTTGGCTCTTTTCCCCTCTGCTAGCCAGGCTGCCCTGGCAAGAGAGACAGTCTTCCTGCTCTCACTTACTGCACCTGGTGACACAGCAAAAAAACTCACCCTGAGGCAGACACCTGGCATGGACAATTTCAGCCTGAATAGTTAAAGTTTGGCAAAGATATTAGCAACTGAAAACAGGGTCTTTTAATGGCAAATGTTGGGTAACCTTAACTATACGTGCACTACCATCTCCATTTATAATGATTTCACACCAACTTCTCCTCAACTGTAATTAGGCCTTTAAAACTAGTCCAGTTCCTCTGGGGGTTTTAAAGGTCCTTTTTGGAAAATGCCTATTAAAATATTTAAATTGTCAGTGGGTTGGGATAATGGGTGTATACCTCATGTACCCATAAAACCCCCATGTGTGAATACAGAAGTGTAACTGTAAGCATACGGTCCAACCTGCATAACCTATGACTCTCTTGTACAAGCATGTGTTAGCACAAAGGTGGGGTTTGGTAAGGGGTACCTATATTACGGGGGGACTGTAAGTTACACCCTCTTTTGAAAGTTTGATCCTTAGAGACAAATACCCACTCAAAAAGGGGGCAGCAGAAACAGAACTGCTGCTGAAACCTAAGATTTAGCCGAGTAAAGCTTGAAATCCCGGCAATTAACACTGTGTTTTGAAGGTGCTGAATGGGCAGTTTGGTGTTTTATCACCCATGAGTCTGTCCTAGGAGGTACACTCATTACTTAACATAAACAATAGCATTGGAATTAAATTGGAATTTAATACCAATTTTCAAGACAATAAAAATCCAACCCCTCTTCAGCAAACTCTGCCCAAAACATGGCTCCATTAAAGTCAATGAAAGTTATATCATTTACTTTAATGAGACCAGGATTTCAACCCTGATCTCTGCAAGCCCTAGACATTGGCAAAGAGTATGGCACATTTTGTTCAATGCATTTTCTGGGTAAGTCTCCAATCCGAATGCAGCTCGTGGAGCCATATCCAGGCTAGTTTTATCCATACAACATGGCTAAAAATAGTCACGTAGATAGGATGGCATGGGCCTTAGCATGGGCTGCACAAGCACCCTGGAGACCCAGGGCACCTACTCTTGTTACTGAAGCCCAAGCTACCACATCTACAATGCTATTTTTAGCCAGGCCAAAGCTGGCACGTATGTGTCTATCCAAGCAACAATCACACTTTGGATTGCAAGGCAGACAATACCCTTAAGTGAAATAGCTGGGTAAAGGCCAGAATGGTCCATCAATTTGGCAGAGCAAGACTCCCACTTGGGGAGCAGGATGAAGTCTCAGGTAAGAGCAGCAGCAGTAGCAAGAGCTATCACGGAGAAAATAATCCCTCTCTCAGAGGGGTGTGACTAGAAACATTATTTCATGCACGTTTTGCTTCCCTTTACATGACTTACATTCAATGAAGTTCTTAGCTGGAGGGGGAGGGGGGCGCAAGTGGGGCAATTTGCCCCAGGCCCTGCGAGCCCTGGCCAAGAATCCCTTCCCGGGCTACTCACCCGGTGGCGGTCCGGGTCTTCGGTGGCACTTCGGCGGCGGGCCCTTCAGTTGCTCTGGGTCTTTGGTGGCGGGTCCTTCAGTGCTGCCAAAGATGTGGAGCGAGTGAAGGACCCGCTGCCGCCGCAGACTCGGAGCGCCGCCCGGTGAGTACAAACGCCGCAGCGGGTGGCGCCTTTTTTTTATGTCTGCTCCCCCGCTTTGCCCCAGGCCCCCTGAATCCTCTGGGCGGCCCAGTTCTTAGCAAGTTCATTTTTGAAGCTCCAGCTCTGCTTTAAGCAGGAATGTTAATGAAAACCAACCAGCCCTAATTTATATCTATGGACATGTTTTTAAAAACTGACATTAAACCCTACACTAGCTTTTCAGACCCTGTTGTGAGTGTAATAATTTGATACAGAATTTCTGAAACTCACTACCGGATGGTTTTCCAAATACTTCCAGAATTTTAGTGGTAGAAAACCTTATTTTTAAAACATTACATTTTAATTCTTAGAGCAACATGCACCTGTGAGGCAGCAGGAAATGTCTAACAGGCCAATGAGGGCCTAATGCTCAGTATGACAGACTACACAAGCCACATTTGTTCATGGACAGACTTCACGGACATACTTCATACGTTCAGATCTCATGATAGAGCCACTTGATGACCTCACAGTATATTTCTTTACATATGCAAACCACAATATAACCATGGCAATACAATTTTTATAGGACTGTAAGCTCTTAGTGGCAGGGCTCTTGTCTGCACATGCTTAACATGCTCTTGATGCTAACCAAGCACAAATGATCACAACAATGAATGTATGCCAAGTTTATACTTTCAGGGAGTATTTTCCTGGCTTAAAACATGGTTTGGTTTCGGTATCAAGAGAATGCTAGAGCAGAACACCTCTCCCTGCCCCCAATCCCCCGTCCTCCTGATGGCAAAAGCTTCAACATAAATTATATAAAGCTAAAGCAAACCTTTTATTTCCTGTAATATGGAAATCTTGATATGAGGATTTCAGATTAATGCACCTTTTTTAAACTATTGCTAAGAAATAAATGGGAGCAATCTTCTTTACTTATACTTTTCAACATAGTAGTAGTAGTATTGAAAGGTAACACGTTATGCTCCTGTAGAACCTCATTAATTGGCACTAATGAATGAGTGGGAGTCCCATTGTGAATTACTAAATTTGGCAAATTATCAGGGAAGTGGAACACACACAAACAAAACAAAGAAAATGTTTTACATCACAAAATGCAGTTTTAGAATTCATGTTGGCAATTATTTTTTAGGATTTACCCCCGTTATAATAGTTCATAATGTTTAGTCTTGAGAAAAGAAGAGTGAGAAAAGAATCTTCAAATATATTAAAGGATTTTACAAAGAGGACAGTGATCTGAAGTAGAAGAACAAATAATTGGCTTAATCTGCAGCCCGGAAGATTTAGGATAGATAGTAGGAAAAACTTTTTCATCTAAGGGTAATTAAGTACTGCAATAGGTTACCATGGAGATTGTGGAGCCCCACCACTGGAGGTTTTAAAGAACAGGTTGGACAGGGCTGGCCTAGATATACCTGGTACTGTCTCAGGGAAGGGGCCTGCAATAGATGTCCTCTTGAGGTCCCTTTCAGCCCTACACTTATGATTCTATGTATTAGTAAATGTTCTATGGTAGATACTGTAAAATAAATGGTGTCTTGCTAAAATGAGATATTATAATCTGCTGTTAAATCTTTTAGAAAAGCTTGGGGGATTACTGCCATTTATGTGTGTGTCTTATAGAGTGAGTGATCGATTGAAGTGTCCATTGACATCCAACCGTATATGTACAGCGATGCACATGGTTAAAGTGACACCAATATTTTAGGTATCTTTCAACATTTCTGATATCTAGCTTTTATCTTTCCTTCATTCTAATCCTCCTTCAGCCACGCCTCACAGCTACTTTGGGCAGGTATAATTCCTCTGCAAACAGAATTCCATGCCAATGTCCTAAGAGAAATTGAAGGCAGGTCTGCTTCAACAATGAAGCAGAAATTAAAGCAACCAAAACCATTATACAACAGCACTGGAAATATCACAAACTCTTAAATAGTTTTTTTAATACTAATTTTAAATATAACGGTGTTGTGAAAACATTGGCTGATCTCAAGGCTAAAAACTATATTACTTGCCTTCAGCAGAGTCCAACATACAAAACACTCAAAAATATACACAGAAGTCTCCGTTTAAGTTGCTGATATTGCTCTCCAATCAAACCACTAGATGGCAGTTCACCATTTATAAACTTATTACCTGTTTAAACAAAACTCATTACCTGTTTGTCACTGGCAAAGGATCGTGTATAACAAAGTGCTGGCAGGCACTACAATTACTACAGTTGTTTTCTAGGAACACAGGCATGTTGTGGGAAACAGCAATAGAAGTGGCTTTGTGCTAGTGTCCCACATGAAGGATATACAAAAATGATGGAGCCTCAGCTTCACGTTATTAAGTGATGACAAAATAAATTCCTGTGTAAGTGAACATTTAGAAAGAGTAGGGAAGCACATAACATGAACACACAGTCTAAATTAACTTTTATGGTATGTCTTACTCACCCAGAATTTTACTAGGAAGAAGGCATTTTGGGGGCCCTTTCCAAACAGTTCCTTTAAACCACCTTTCTTTTCAGGAAATTTGTCATAAATCTGACGAATGTCCACCGATTCAAGCAACGGGTCACTGTAAGAATGGTTGGCATGTCCAATGTGCACAAAGAGGTGTTTGTTGTACTGTAAGAAAATAAGAAAAAGAAAAAATCACTATTGTACAAGAAAAACAGAGGTTTATTTAAGCTGAACAGTATGTCTGTGTGTTCATGCTAAGATTAGGGTGCTTTGGTGGATTAGAAAAACTTGCCCTCATTTACCTTTGGGACCACGGTTTATTTGCAACATGATTTCCATGAAGTAACTTTGGTGGTCTTAGCACAGTCCCTAGTGAACAAGAGTCAATATCATAAAACCAGTTCCCCTACTGTAAACCTGCTAAGCATGATTAACTGCCGGCAGGTGTTTACCTAAAAAACCAGAACAGCCAGCAAAGTGATGATCAGCCCATCCTGAGCACAGTAAGATCAAGGTCATTAGAAAGAGTGGTGGTGTCTGCACCATGTAGTTTAATGTCTTATGTACAGAGATCTTTAGTTTCTGCTAGTGCAACAGTTCCCTTAATCGTTACATTACTAACATTTCTTTCTTTAAAAAAAAAAAGTGTGCTAATGTCAGTTGCCTAAAGGAGAGGGAAGAGATTTTTCTTTAATTCCTAGAATTATAGTAATAAGAAGGAACTAATAGGTCAGCTAGTCCATCTCCCTGCCAGTGTAGGATTTTTCCCTTTGGTATATTCCCCAATGCTTTGTTGAATCCACTTTCAAATGACCCAAGCTTCTACCACTTACTGTGGGAGCTAGTTTCACAGTTTCGCTGCCAGAATGTATAACCTGATGTTCAACCTAAATTTCCCCCTTTCTAGTTTCATTCCACTATAATTAGTTATAGCCACCGGTACCACCCAAAACAATTCCTCTCCCTTCTCAGAGTGAAATCCTGGCTCCAATGAAGTCTATCGTTAAACCCTCTATTGACTTCAGTGGGGCAAGGATTTTACCCATATTGTTTACACCCTGCATATTTGTCTGAGACTACAGCACATTGTAAAATCTGAAATGAATAAGAAGAGGACCTGATACTGCATGCCGCTAAGTCCCACCGGGGGAGAGCTCCACACCTCACAAGACCACATGAAAAGCTGAAAGGAGCATGGTTGTTTTTTAACCACATAGATCACAAACAACATTTTGCTAACTCGGTTAAAGGGAAACCAATGTGCAGTCACTGAACAGCCAAAAACTTTGCAATATTAGGTAGCTACTGGCTACAAGGTAGCAATTTCTAACCGGGAAGCATAAAATAATGTCAACTCTGTGTTTTCAACATCTGCTTGGCTATTTTGTTCACAATATATCTGCAGACAAAACAGATTAAAATAACACTGTCATACCTAAATAAACTGAACATCCAACCGTTCAGCAGGCCTATCATGCTAACTCATATTATCTCACAGTTTCTTTGTATTCCCCTGTTTCCATCTCTTGTCACTTGTCTTACACTTTGACTGTAAGCCCCTGGGAGCAGGGTCTGTCTTTTTTTTCTGTGTTTTTTCTGTGTTTGTACAGCACCTAGCACAATGGGGTCCTGGTCCATGTCTGGGGCTTGGGATAAAAATAAATAATAATGACTGAATACAACTTTCCCTAACAAATGTGCAAAACCCAGAGGAAAAGAAAGTAGACTGACTATATTTTTACCAACTGTACTTGGACAAGTAAACCGATAAAACTAGTAAAATCATCTAGAGCAATGAAATCTGAATTTAGAATACACTTATTTATTATAATGGGCATATATCATTGGATACATTCCAGTCTTCTCCTGACGTATTTTATTTAGTGGGGGGAAAAGAGCTTAACACTTCAGGCTTTAATAAACCTAAGCTCAATTCGTAAGATGTGAACATCAGTTACACAGATTTACCTTGGAACATTCTCTTTCAAAATAGCCCCCACTGTATTGGTGTGCACACAGAAAACTTTCCCAATCTTTGCTTATAGATGCAACAAACCCCAAAGGGGCATCATAGTCAAACTAGGGTGTTTCTACTCTAAAGAGCCAAGCACGTAGGTCAGAAAAATAAACAAGTGAATGGAAGGGACTGAGTGCATGAATGAATGAATGCATGAATGAAAGTTTATCAGCAAGGCATGAGCAGGTTTAAGTCACATACCAATCATTTACACAAGAATTACAGTAATTATCATACTATTCAGTTACAATGAGGGATTATCATAAAGATATCTGCAGAGTCACTAGATTTGTCATTTTACTTGATAATTGAATAACTGCAGATGAAACATCCTTGCTATACACACAAAATACACATACACTACTTCACTTACATGTGATCTATATCCAGATACACATCATTGTATTATCTTGGCACGCCAAGCACATACAAAAATTAATATATAATATTGTTGGGAACCACTGCTATTCTAGGTTTACCTCTTAAATGTCTGGAGACCAGGGAAAGCAAGCAAGCAAGAACACTAGATTTTAGGTGGTGACTGTAATTTGAGATAAATTCAAAACTGTATGAAGATAACACATGAGAATTTGGGGCATGTAACTGTAGGCATAGATCTTGCTGGACATGAGTAAAATTTGAGTGCAAGGTTCAACTGTAAACAATGATTTGACAGGCTGTGTGCCTGAGACAGTGTTTTCAGGGCTAGTTGAGATAAGTGGGAACACCCTGAACTGATTAACTTGAAATGCAGATAAAGGGAGGAAATAAGCAATTGGTCCTTACACAATCTCCAAAGTGATTGGTCCTTACATGATCTGCACAATGTCCAACCCAATTAGATTCAACAAGTATAGATGTTATGGCTGGGGAAAATGTATATAAACTGTCTAACATGTGACATGCTTGAACTGGAACTGAAATTGGTATCACCCAGTACCTAAACCCCTGCATCTGGGTGGCCTTATCCACAAGGGCATAGAGCTGTCACATGCCTAATAAAGTAACCTGAGTGCTGAGCAGGAATCAAATTGAGTTGTTTGGGATCCTGAGAACGGGATAAAGTGTTCTCCCAGAACTGGGTGAGGTATTCTGGATAAGCCAAGTGGAAGAGGTCTTGGAAGGAATCCCAACATTATTGTCTTGCAAAATAATCTGGTAAAACATTTCTTCAGACATTATACTATTTTACCATCTGGAAAATAATGTAGTAGAGTCCTTAGACTCCAAACTGCAATCAAAGAGACGTTATGTATATAGGAATACGGAGCAGATCACAGAGCCTTTATGCTGCTTCAATATAAAAGCAAAGTTAAAGGCAGCTGTAAAGTTACTACAGTTGCCTGCAGATCTTGCCAAAGTACCAGATGCTGCTGCAGCAAAAATTCTGACAGGCTATAGTGGGACAGATGGTGTGACATCACCTGAGAATATTCTTAGGACATAAATGTTTATTTTGACATTGCGTGTGTGACTATTTTCTGCTTATGTTGCTGTAATTCATATATGAAATAGAATCATTACTAATCTAATTAGATAAGGCATATTTCTACAGGCTCATAAATGACAACACAATATTAGGCACAAGACAAATTTGTTATATGGGCAGTCTCCGTGAAAAGTGTGTATATATGAAAGCGATGAGGTTAAGTTACATGGCCATATCTTCTGAGCCTTTTAGTGTTTGAAAAGATCAAGAACATCCTCATTATAAGCAAACTTCACCATTATTTCAGGCTGCATATTCCAGAGTTATTGAAGTACATTAGTACTGAGGAATTTGCCCATGCCACAGTATTTAAAGGATTTACATTTGACATGTATATAATTATATGCTTTAAATACTGTAAACCACAGTGGGTCAAAACCTGTGTTTTTTTAAGCATAGCAACTACATCAAAGTTTACAGAATACATTCCTGAGCTATTTCATATGCAGAGTTTGCATTACACTACATGCCCTGGAGATGGCTGCCTCTTACTGAACTCTTTCCCTTAAAAAATTCTAAATATCTGAGGAATGCAGTAAAGCCATGAAAAATGACTGTTGTCAACTAATACCACGAGAAAAATTATAATCCACTTAGGAATTTAAAGGAACCAAGACAAATCGCCAATGTCAGAGGATGCTAACATACAAGCTGAGCAGAACAAAGACAAATCACCTACATTTGTTTTACCGTTCAATACATACACAGGCTCTTGCGAAATTATGTCCTTATGTTCTATGGTTTTGCTCTTACATTCCACAAAACTAGGTGATGAGAGCTGCTACAGCTCTCTCTGATGCATTCTTGTGCTCCACAGTACCAGGGAAGTGCACTCTGAATCTCATGCAACACAAATACGCATCTATTAAGCAAAGTTCTTTCAATTTCAGTGGCAAGATGCAGGCTGCACTGTAACTTGACATACACATGCTCTCAAAGCATGAAAGCATAGAGTTGCAACCTGCAGCCTTCTACCATAGAACCAGTTGCTCCAAGTCATAGGCGTGCACAGCACATTTCATTAGGGTGTGCACCCAGGGAATTTTAATTTATTTTTTGAAGGCGAACATCATAAAGTTTGGGGTGCGGGGTGCAGGAGGGGGCTCAGGGAAGGGGGTTGGGGTGCAGGAGGGGTGTAGGGCAGGGAGTTGGGGTGCGAGGTGCAGGCAGAGGGCTTAGGGCAGGGGGTTGGGGTACAGGAGGAGTGCAGAGTGCAGGCAGAGGGCTCAGGGCAGGGGATTGGGGTGCGAGGAGCAGACAAGGGGCTCAAGGCAGGGGGTTGGAGGGTAGGGGTGCAGGAGGGGTTCGGGCTCTGGCCCGGCGGTGCTTACCTGCAGCAGCACGCTCCCTGGCTACCTGCCCTGGCCCCACGCCGCGCTGTTCACCACGTCCCTGCGCGGCCCCAGGGGGGAGGGGGGAGAGGGGCCCACAGGGCTCTGTGCGCTGCCCTTGCCACGCCTCCAGGTACCTTCCCCGAAGCTCCCATTGGCTGCGGTTCCCCGTTCCCGGCCAATGGGAGCTGCGGGGGCGGTGCCTGGAGCAACGCACGGAGCCCTCTCCCCTCCGCCCCTTCCTCCCCCCGGGACATGGTGCCGGCTGCTTCAGAGAGCGGTGCGGGGCCTGTGGCACCACAGGGGGCAAATCCCGAGGGCTGGATCC